CTCGTGCTGCCAAATAAATGTTTTTTTAAAAAGGAATGTTTCAAAGACACAAATGTTAAGATAGGATTAAAAATTATTTGGCTTTAGGGATGCCTGTGCTTGGTTTTCAGGCTCTCCTATGATAACTCTGTTGACTTTTCTCAGGCCACTTGAAGTTTTTCCTGAGCCCAAGTTCTGTTTCTGATTTGTTATTTGCTGAAGCACAGTCACTTGGTGGCAGATAAGGCGGCTCTAGCCTCCCACAAATGAAGGGTTCTATCTGTATTTTCCTTCAGCATCCAGGCAGTCCCTCCCAGGGACTGCCCTATTTATTTGCTTATTTATTTTCATTCCTTCTCCTTTAACAAATCAGAAAATATAGGTGTTCAATATCCATCATGTGGCTAGTGGCCACCCAACTGAATAGCACTTAGAGATCTGAATTAATCTGTCACATTAATTAGTTGATCATTTAGCAGGCAAAGCAGGAGGGATCTAACCTAAGCTGGTGATACAGTTTTTTCAAACTCTGGGGGCTTCACAATTTTTGCTAAAGGAAACATCATCTCCTTTGAATTAAAAGGTAAAGCAACACTAAAATGTATAAAGTAAAAGTTTCTTCACACCATCCCCAAACTAACCAATCCTCTTAGCAACTACAGATAACATCTGGGGAGGTGGGCTTCATAAGATGCTTAGGAAATCAATTCTCTTCTTGCTTCTGTAGATTTTCAACTATGGTAATCTCTAAATTCTACCTCTCATCATTTTCCTATGGAAGACATTTTCCTTTCCCAGCTTTTTAGTTCTGGAAAGAAGTAACATTATGTATTTTGCTTTATACAATACTTGTTACAGACTACCTGAATATAATTTTTTATATATTTTAAAAATATATACTTAGTATTTGGGCTCTTTTCATCAGTGATGCCATTTTAATCATCTGGTTGAATGAAGAAATTAGAAGTCAGATTTACTGTTTTGACTGACTGGCTAGAAGTCAGATTTACTGTTTTGATTGGCTGGTGTTTCAAAGTCAAATTACACAGTGGTCATCAGAATTCTTACTCTGGAAACTCAGTCATCTATTGATAGCTTTCCAATGAATGGATTGTTTCTTTATTTAGAATTTAGATTTTATGTTACATTTCACCCAAAGATAACTAGAATCATATGATACTGCTTTGTACATTTTGAGCTCTGTCAAAAAGAAATACAACGTGGTAGGTGGCAGGAGATGGGCAGGCAGTGTCTGCAGGGTACACAGTTGAGAATGCATTGCTTTCAGAAAGGTGATGCTGTGTGTAGTTACCAGCTATTTCCTTCCTTTTGAGAATGATAGTTTCATGAAAAGTTAAGAAAAGGGAAAACAGACTTGTATTAACATTGACAGCTATGATAGGTATAAACAAAAGATTTAACAAGACTCTGGGTATCTGAAGTGTACTATGCCCACAAAGAAAGTTGAGAAATTTGTAAAATGACTAAAAGTAATAACAATAATAAAAGGCTAGAGGTAATTATTATTAGGGCTTGCCGGTGGCTCAGGGGTAAAGAAGCCGCCTACAACACAGGAGACTCGAGTTTGATTCCTCGGACGGGAAGATCCCCTGGAGGAGGAAATGGCAACCCACTCCAGTATTCCTGCCTGCAAAAACTCAAGGACAGAGGAGCATGGGGGCCTACAGTCCATGAGGTTGCAAAGATTCAGACACAATTGAGCGACTAAACAACAAAAACAATTATTATTAAGGTTTTCCTGCTCCTTCAAATTGCAATGGCAGCTGTATGCCAGTGCCTAGAACAGTACTGGTACCTACTAGGCGCTCAGTCAATGGGCCTGTTGCACGATTAGGCCTTCTAGTACTACTGAAGTGAAGTGAAAGTCGCTCAGTGGTGTCCGACTCTTTGCGATCCCACGAACTGTACAGTCCATGAGATTCCCTAGGCCAGAATATTGGAGTGGGTAGCTTTTCCCTCTTCCAGGGGATCTTCCCAACCCAGGGATCGAACCCAGTTCTCCCGCATTGCGGGAGGATTCTTTACCAACTGAGCCACAAGGGAACTAGGGCACCACAATTTAGTCAACATGAAAAAGCCAAAATATAAAAGCTCTTAATACAATGAGGATGCCGCGGAACAAGGATTTTCAGAAAAATACAATACTTTTTTCTCTCAGTGTTTACATCTAGTGGGGGCAAAAAAACCCCCCAAATCATTCACTTGGAACGGAAGTTGAGACCACAGGACAGAGCCGAGACCCAGAACCCACTCGGGCCCAAATACACGCCACGCCCACCACGCAGGCGCAGGAAGGGGCGGAGCCGAAACGGGTGGAGGCGAGAGGCAATTCGTCGAATTCCGATAGCTCCGCCCTACGTCTAGCGTCAAGCGGTTACGTGATCGTCCCGGGCCGGCGGGAAGAGTTTCAGTGTTTTCCCAGCAGCGCGCGCCCGCACTTTACCGGCTGCCGGCCCAAACGTGGGTTGGCTGTGAACCCCGCGCGAGGAGCAGCGGTCACAATTTCCTGAGTTCGCTACGAGTACTGCACGCTTCCATCCGGTAAGTGTGAGGGGGGTGCCTGGAGGGGGTCCGCAGGGGTTGCTAGATGAGGCCTCTCCGGGCTGCCGCCGGCCAGCAGTCGCGTACTCCTCTGATGACTGTCTGGCCACTGTCGGGGTCGGGGTGAAGAGGCGATTAAACGGTCGCGGGGTGGGGGAGCGGGGGGGAGGTGCGACTGGACCCCGTCCCATTAGCTAGGTCGGTTTTGGCGCGCTTTCCCGTCCGCACTCGCTATTGGCTGGCGGGCGCCGTCCCCAGGCGTGCCGGTGGGTTGGAGGGCCCCGGCGCGTTGAACCTTCTGCCGCCTCTTTGGCGTCTGGGTCCCTGTCCCGAGGACAGACTTGCGGTCTTATGGGGCGGTTTCTGTGCAGTTGGTTGGTGTGAGGGCATCAGCGTTGGTGTACCTTGTCAAGAGGAACATCATCCGTCCTCATGACCAGGAATTAACTGGTGGAAATCCATTGTTGTCTAATCGCTAAGTCACGTCCGTAGCCTGCCAGGCTCCTCTGTCCATGAGATTACCCAGGCAAGAATACTGGAGTGCGTTGCCATTTCCTTCTCCAAGAGGATCTTCCCGACCCAGCGATCGAACCCGCGTCTCCTGCATTGACAGGCTGTTATTTTACCACTGAGCCTCCATAGTGGTCCGCTAACTGGGCTCGGGGGAGAAGATCCCTGAATCCTGCGTCTGCTCGTTTAAAGAAAAAATGAACGTGGTGACACTTGGTTTCATCAGTTTATCAATAGTTCCTTGGACTCACTCCTATGCTAGTTTTCAATCTAGTTGTTTAAAATAACTAGATAATAAAAACTAAGGATGTCGGCGGGAGTGTAATGAGCAAGTGAGGAGTTAGGTTTGACCCGTGGCTTTCAACTGTTTAAATCATGACGTGTACTAAATCATTTTTTACATCGCAATTTAGGACTCATTCCTCAGCTAAATTAGAACCTTCAGGGGGCAGTATTTATTCCTCCTATGCCATACACTTTGATGTTTTAAACACCCACTAAGTGATTTTGGAACCCCAGGCTGCGACCCGCAGTTTGAAAACCACTGCCCTGGCTCAGCCCGACCAGCATTTGCTTAACATTAAACAGACTGGAAAACAGGCTGCGTCACAGCGTTAGACTTTCTTTCCTAAGCTTTTATGATTGCGTTTGTGTGTGCTGGCACACAGCATAAAATGTATTCACATGGGATGGGTCATAGTCAAAGTTCAGAAGTCACTGCACTGAGTAAAGAAAGGCATAACTGCAGAAATCAGTGAGATCTGTATGAGAGAAGAGAGACGGCTGAGGAGTTCAAATTTGGGTTTGGAGTGAGTGGGGCCAGTGTTCTGGTTACTAAGACTGCATAACCCTCTGTCTCCTCCCTTTTCTTTGCATCCATCAGTGCCTCAGTTAATGGTGGTTAAACATTCCCTACACGTGGAAATGCATAATCTTACTTGATTAGATATTAAGTCAGTAATTAAGTTATTGCTGGTTACCAGGGCCAAGTTTATTATAGCTTAAAACTGTCTTTGAAACAGCAAAGTTAGGATGCTGTTTTTGACCTGATCATACCTGAATGTCTGTGTTTTACTTTTCCCACTGACCATTTTTCAGATCTTTGGGAGCCCTGCATTTAACATAGAACACCATCATGTTTTGTAAATTTGCTTAGACTACATATTTTCTCATGTAACAAAATTTTACCAGCCAGAATTATTTTTTTTGTGTGTGTGTGTGTATGTATAAAATAAAGATACTAAGAGTCATTAGCTTTAGTCACTTGTCATTGACAGGGCTGAGTTTGGGTACAGTGAGAAAAGATTCTATCTTTTTTATCGTTACGATTTTTTAATTTTTATTTTTACGTTGTACTTTGAACAAAAAACTAAATTTCACTTTCTGATGCAGATTGTTCTGTTTTTGAATTGCTAGTCTTCTGCTCTTCATCAGGTGTGTAATGAGTCACAACATGAAGCAGAAACAAGAAGGATTCCAAGAGAATGTAAAGGTATGTGATGCAATCACTTTCAGCTTTTGTAGAAAGCAGGTAGTTAGATGTTTTTTGACATAATTTGGTCAAATTTAACTTGGCTATAATTTCTATGAACCTTGGCTTAACTAAATTTTGAGTCTGAGGGCATGTAACAATAGAGGACTGTTTAAAAATGAATTATGGTTGAATTAAGTTTTGTGATCCAGGCACATAGGATGTTTTTCCATTTATTTAGGTCTAAGTATTTTGTTGTTTTTAATGCTATTGTAGCTGGAATCATTTCCTTAATTAAATTTTTGGTGTGGTCATTGCTGCTATATAGAAATGCAATGCTGTTATTTTACCACTGAGCCTCCATAGTGGTCCGCTAACTGGGCTCGGGGGAGAAGATCCCTGAATCCTGCGTCTGCTCGTTTAAAGAAAAAATGAACGTGGTGACACTTGGTTTCATCAGTTTATCAATAGTTCCTTGGACTCACTCCTATGCTAGTTTTCAATCTAATTGTTTAAAATAACTAGATAATAAAAACTAAGGATGTCGGCGGGAGTGTAATGAGCAAGTGAGGAGTTAGGTTTGACCCGTGGCTTTCAACTGTTTAAATCATGACGTGTACTAAATCATTTTTTACATCGCAATTTAGGACTCATTCCTCAGCTAAATTAGAACCTTCAGGGGGCAGTATTTATTCCTCCTATGCCATACACTTTGATGTTTTAAACACCCACTAAGTGATTTTGGAACCCCAGGCTGCGACCCGCAGTTTGAAAACCACTGCCCTGGCTCAGCCCGACCAGCATTTGCTTAACATTAAACAGACTGGAAAACAGGCTGCGTCACAGCGTTAGACTTTCTTTCCTAAGCTTTTATGATTGCGTTTGTGTGTGCTGGCACACAGCATAAAATGTATTCACATGGGATGGGTCATAGTCAAAGTTCAGAAGTCACTGCACTGAGTAAAGAAAGGCATAACTGCAGAAATCAGTGAGATCTGTATGAGAGAAGAGAGACGGCTGAGGAGTTCAAATTTGGGTTTGGAGTGAGTGGGGCCAGTGTTCTGGTTACTAAGACTGCATAACCCTCTGTCTCCTCCCTTTTCTTTGCATCCATCAGTGCCTCAGTTAATGGTGGTTAAACATTCCCTACACGTGGAAATGCATAATCTTACTTGATTAGATATTAAGTCAGTAATTAAGTTATTGCTGGTTACCAGGGCCAAGTTTATTATAGCTTAAAACTGTCTTTGAAACAGCAAAGTTAGGATGCTGTTTTTGACCTGATCATACCTGAATGTCTGTGTTTTACTTTTCCCACTGACCATTTTTCAGATCTTTGGGAGCCCTGCATTTAACATAGAACACCATCATGTTTTGTAAATTTGCTTAGACTACATATTTTCTCATGTAACAAAATTTTACCAGCCAGAATTATTTTTTTTGTGTGTGTGTGTGTATGTATAAAATAAAGATACTAAGAGTCATTAGCTTTAGTCACTTGTCATTGACAGGGCTGAGTTTGGGTACAGTGAGAAAAGATTCTATCTTTTTTATCGTTACGATTTTTTAATTTTTATTTTTACGTTGTACTTTGAACAAAAAACTAAATTTCACTTTCTGATGCAGATTGTTCTGTTTTTGAATTGCTAGTCTTCTGCTCTTCATCAGGTGTGTAATGAGTCACAACATGAAGCAGAAACAAGAAGGATTCCAAGAGAATGTAAAGGTATGTGATGCAATCACTTTCAGCTTTTGTAGAAAGCAGGTAGTTAGATGTTTTTTGACATAATTTGGTCAAATTTAACTTGGCTATAATTTCTATGAACCTTGGCTTAACTAAATTTTGAGTCTGAGGGCATGTAACAATAGAGGACTGTTTAAAAATGAATTATGGTTGAATTAAGTTTTGTGATCCAGGCACATAGGATGTTTTTCCATTTATTTAGGTCTAAGTATTTTGTTGTTTTTAATGCTATTGTAGCTGGAATCATTTCCTTAATTAAATTTTTGGTGTGGTCATTGCTGCTATATAGAAATGCAATTGACTTGTATCTTGATCTTGTTTGTTTCAACCTTGCAGAGCTTGTTTATTAGTTGTAATAGTTTTTTTTTAGTAAATTCCTTAGGGTTTTCTGTATACAAGACTTTTTATTCCTTTGTTTTTACTCTTACTACATTTCATGAGATGGTTTTATTAAAATCCTTTAAGTGTATATTCAAATTAGATCTTTGATCACAGAGACATTTTGCATTATTACCTTGCCTTAGTATCTTCCTTACATTATTTTTCTTGAATAATAGTTTGTACTGATAATATGTGAATTTGATCCCATCATCTTCCATAAAGGGTAATAACATCTTGCACTTGTGCTTTGTATGTGTGTGTTTTTAAACTTTTTATTAGGAAAATATTAAAAAATAGTAATTTAATCTCAATTTACTTCCCCCACTTTCAGCAATTATCAGTATATCAGTTCAGTTCAGTCGTTCAGTCGTGTCTGACTCTTTGCAACCCCATGGACTATCAGTATATGGCAAGTCTTATTTCATCTCCGTCTCTATTCGCTCCTTCTTTCTTCCACTAAATTATTTTGAATCAAATCCCAGACAGATAATTTATGTAATTCCAGCAGAGTCTAACATTTAAAGAGAAGTCTAATGTTTAGTAGTTATAGTACAACTATCTGGGATATAAAAGGACCTGGGTTCTGCTTGGTTGTGCCTCCAAAACTGTGATGTTGGGTGAGTTATTTAGCATCTCCGCCTCAGTTTACTCATCTGTAAAATGAGCGAGTTGGACTGAAGCTAGTCTGTAAGAGTATATTTTAGGAGTTCATGGATTCCTTGCCAGTCATACACAAAATGCTGTGTGTGTGCTTGTTGTTACTGTTTCTTGAGGGGGTTTGCAGAATATAAAATTGTTTTCTAAAAAGATTAAGACTCATTAATATATGAGAACCTTTCTGGCTGTAAAGAGCTTATTCTAAATGCAAGATCTGTATGAATAAAATGATAATAGCAATATTACATTTGGGTGGCTGGATGCTATAAAGCTTACAGTTGTGAAAGTTAAATCTTGGAAATGGTAATTTAGTATTTCAGTCATTTATCTTAGTAGCAAGTGTTTAAATAAATTAACATCTATTATTAAAGGGTTTCAAAGTTGTATTTTCTTCTGTTTGTCTGGAGACTGTTGACTAATCTTAAATTATATCTGAAATGTTGGTGTAATATTTGTTCTCCCAGTAGCCAGCGTTTGTTCTTCAGTTCAATAGTGAGATAATAATCAGCAGTAGAAACTTTACCGTGGGAAAGGTGAGCTCTAGTCCTGTGTAGTGCAGTGTGGAATCAGTAACTTTCTCACGCTGCTCTGGTGTCATGTTCTTACTGACTTTGTTTGAGTATTCACTATTGTTTGCTATCCCATGGTGGCAGTATAACTAATGATTTTTTGCAGATATAGTAGAGAGATCTTTTAGATCAGGAAATATACAGGAAGGTATTTACATATTACAAGGAAGGCAATTTTTTTCCCGAAACAATAGCTTGGGCATTTTGGAGTTCTAGTATGCCTCAAGCAGTGACATTTTTGCTGTCTGCTAATGAATGGTCTTGAAGCAAACTGCTTCTACATTCAGGTAAAGGTTGAGGGGGAGAAGCAGGTCTTCTTACATGTGTTATGTTCTTAAAATTATATTCTTGTGGTGAATTCATATAAATATGTTAGGGGATATTCACAATTTAAAGAAAGCCTAAGAGGAATCCTTTTGATTAGGGGAGAGAAATATTTTGCAGTTAAATAATTAACCCTTTCCTCCAATTTACCCCTTTTGTGGGTTTCTGCCATAAATGTAATATATTTGGTACATTTCTAGTTTCTGTGTGAAAGATCTTTTTTTTTTATAAGATGGAATACAGATACTTCTGGTATTCTGGAATTTCACCATATATGAAGTATTAGAACTTAAAAATGTTGTATTTTTGTTTTAACTAAACAATGACTGTATGACTTTAGCAAGAACGTATATTGAAATGGGAGAAGAGTGACTTGTTTGTGTCAAGTTTGAGTAATATGATTTATTTTTAGAATTTCTTCAAACTTTATTAGAATTTTAGGGAAATAATAAGTTTGCTAGTTGATCAAACCATGTGTAATTTTATAAAATTATATACCATATCAAACATTAATGTCCTTTGGGTTGTTTTGTTTTGTTTTTTGTCAATTATAGTAGGATTAAGATAGTAACAGTCCATATAGTAACTTAGTAACCAGATAATTTATTATGTTGACTTCCAGAATAGTCCTGTTCCAAGAAGAACTCTGAGGATGATTCAGCCTTCTACGGCTGGATCTCTGGTTGGAAGAGAAAATGAGGTGTGTATTGTTGGGCTAGAATGGGGTACAGATGATTCTGCACTTACATTAAACACATTTCAAAGACTTACTTGGTCAGAAATACCTAAATCATTGAAATTTGGAAATAAGTTAAGGATAACAATTGTATATTCCCCACAGAAGTGGTTTTTGTTTTAATTTCAGTTTAGGAAGTTGAAAGTTGGTATGGATATCTGTAGCAGAACTGGGATAATAAATTATTATGAGTTAACCTATAGGCATAATGTTTGATTTCTTTCTCCTTTTTTTTAAGAATAAAATGTTAGATTCAATCATTTACCCCTGTATGTAAATAATGAAATCATGGATGAAGGTTTCTAGACTTTTATGGGTTGCAAATCATGCCTTCCCATGGTACTGAATTATTTAAGTAATAAAAATGAATTCAGCTAAGCCTTAGACCGAAGTCTGAGCTAAAATAATTGCTGTAAATAAAATTCCTAAAATATGACTATATATTTTTGTAGAGTTTTGAATTTATAATCTCTTAAAAGAGCCAAAGATATCAAAAAGAGATATGAATACTTTAGTTTTAATCAAAAGAGACAAAGCTATTCAGCTTTCTTGTTCATTAAACAAAATGACTGATGTACATATTTTCATTATAGTTGGTTAAAGGCTTGTCCAAACAGAAACATTGGAATGACCAGTTAATATCTAAGACTTCCAGCTCTGGAGTTGTTACTGACCCAGAACATAGTAAAAATAAAACTCTTGGAGGAGTCAGCCAAGAAGCATTTGATCTTATGATTACAGGTACAAAAAAATATGTATATATGCAGCTTTTATCTTAAAAACCTAAATTATAATAAGGGTAAATATTGTTTGTTGTTATGAATTCTGCCCACAGCTTTTTAATCTATTAAAATATTTTGCTTTAATGTTTTTGATAATTTAAAATTTCTTATGGTTGGAAATACATAAAATGTAAATTTGGACAGGTCCTATGGTTCGATAAGATCCATATACGGGTTTAATATTAAAGGAAAGGATAGTGAATAATATGGCAGCTTTGATATTGGACATGTAAGACTTAGAAATAGTCTCTTCAGAAGAAAAGTGTCTAGAGAATGAATTTGCGGAGAGGAACTTGAAGAAAAGATACCAGGAGAATGATGTAAGGGAACAATAGGAACAAGAAGAGTGAAGATGAGTGAGAAGCATGTGCCTGTGACAATTACTGGTTTTAATGGAATGGCAGTGGAATTCATAAAAGGAAGCTAGTGATGTTTTATAAGTACTATGGAAGGTGATTACTTCTATTCTAATAATGAGTCATTGGATATTATTACTGAGGAAAAAATTTGAGACCTAGAGAAGTTAATGGTCTCACCCAAGATTAAAGTGGTGTTTGGGCTCATTTTGAGTTGCCTGAATGACAGTGGGGGAAGAAATAAGTAGATAGTGGGTTTTTTAGGCAAAATAAAGAAAGGTTGATTGCATACAAATAAAGAAGTCTTAATAATAGTGTAAAATAAGCAATAGGATTTGTGATACTCATCTGATTTGGCTAAAATTAATGAAGATTGATAGGAAATAATAACTAAAGTTAAATATGGAAATAAATAACTCAACTATACATTGTATTGCTATCATAACCACATAGAAAAAATTAATTCATTTAACTTGAACACAGAACTCTTGAGTATACAACCTCATGGGATATACTGTGAGGACTGAAAGAACTACAAAGAAATCTTGAATTTAATTTTTGCTGTTAGTGGTATTGCTATAGTAGCAGTTATGGGGGAAATTTGAGTATATTTTAGGATTAAGCAAATGGGTAATATGTTGATATTTTTGGGTTCATGGTATGGTGAAGGGAGATACAATATGTAATGGGGAAGGAAAGGAGGAACTCTTGTGGAACTGGAATTGGGTGTGTTGGTATGAACTGATTTTTTTGTTTTTTAAAGAATCTACCTCTGCCAGTGAAAGAGCCCAGAAACAATGGCACCTAAATAACAAGAAGCACAATCACATCCAGTTCTTGGTTTGTAAACAGGATTCTCCACTAAAGCTCCCTGGAGAAATGGCTGCTTCCAGGACTGGGGCAAGCTCACTATAGAGTGAGTTTGTAATCTCTTGTGTTAGAAAACACAAGAAATCTCTTGTGTTAGAAAATCAACAACTGATGCAGAGGTTAAACGGATAAGGAGACTGCTTTAAGGGATCCCCTTGGCTAAAGTAGGGAAAGTTTGAGCATCAAAATGAATGATGACAAAAATGGATTATAATACACTGAATTAAAAAAAGAGTACATGAATCCATACTGGTAATTTTCTTCTGAATTGGGGGAGGGGATGTTCTTTGACAGAATAATGCCAACTACTGAATGTAGAAGGAACTACATAAATGGAAAATCACTACTTTTTTTATCCATCATAGAAACAGATTTAAGAAATATTAGTGGAGCTAAAACTGGAGGAAAGGTTGTTAGGGAATTGTATGTTAACACCACAGACTCAAAAATTTTACTCCATAGATCATTTACTTGTTACTGAAGGAAAAAAATGCCTTTACAAGGGAGAAATCATCTTAAATGATTGAATATAACATCTAGGATTGTGACAAACTAGGATTGTGACAAATTAGTATGTGCTTCTTCAGTGGTACACTGGGAAGGATACAACATGTTTACACAGTGTCCTTGCCAACATGTATAGCTTGAACCTAATAATGAAAATGGACAAATGCAAATTTAAGGGCAATGTAAAAATAACTGATCTGGACTTTTCACAAATGTTACTGTTAAACAAAAAAAAAAGTATGAAGACACATAGCAAATGCAGCAAACAACCTTTAACAATCTAGGTGAAAGTTATATGTGTATTGTACTGGTGTTGGAATTGTTTTGAAAGATTGAAAATCTTCAAAACGTTTGGAAAAATAAGAGAAAAAATTGATTTGGCTTTCTAACTTTAATCTTTTTTAAAAATGGTATTACTAAGTACTGAGTAAGACTAAATTTTTTTTTAATAGACAAAAAGTTACTGGGTTTTTACAGCAGTATATATATACAGTAATGATTTCCGAAGTTACACTGTAAAACATTCATTTATTTTAGAAAATCCATCCCCTCAATATTGGAAAGAAGTGGCGGAAAAACGGAGGAAGGCTCTCTATGAGGCCCTTAAGGAAAATGAGAAAGTATGTACTGAATATAATTTGTGACATTTTTAAACATTCCAGGATCATTTTTCTTCTGTCTTAGATATTTTACTAGAGCAATATAAACTAGATTTAATGTTGACCTAGTAAAAGTTTAATTAGGCAGAACTGTTACACAAAAAGAAGCCTATTGTGTTGAGAGTCAAGGACAGCACCTTTGTTAGCAACTTTGTCCTAAATGTGCTATCAGCTGTATACTTGGAGGCATATAATTTGGTTTACAGTGTCGCAAACCTGTGAGATATTGAACTATTTTGATTTATGTCACATAGCTCCATAAGGAGATTGAACAAAAGGACAATGAAATTGCCCGCCTGAAGGAGGAGAATAAGGAACTGGCAGAAGTGGCAGAACATGTCCAGTATATGGCAGAGATGATACAGGTAGGTGTCTTAACCTTCACCTGACCCAGAGTCCTCTGTTTTCCTATCAAGTCCAGGGAGTGTGATCAGAACGTGTTTGGGCTCTAGGATCAGATCTCCCAATTTGAGTCCTAGCCCCTGCCTCGCGCCATTAAGTTAGAGTTAAGCAGGTTGTTTATCCTGTCAGGGCTCCATTTTCCTCATCTATAACATGGGAGTAATAGTGCCTACTTTATAGGCTTCCTATGAGAATAATGAGTTATAATAGGGAAAAAATTGAGAGAACTGCCTGTACCTAGTGAGAACCCAAAACTGTCAGATGCTGTTGTTTATTATTATGAAACAAAAGGACACCTGTTTTCTTGTAGAGATATAAAAAGGAATTATATCTGAAAGATATAGGGAATTTATTATATTTCACAGGTGTCAAATTTTCAGACAGGCTTTTTAAAAAGTTTTTATTGGAGTTTGGTTGATTCATAGTGTTGTGTTAGCTTCAGGTACACAGCAGAGTAAATCAGTTACACATACATATATATATATATACACACAGACATCCACAGTTTTTATTTTAACTAATGCCAATGAGACATGATGGGCACTTATAAAACCGGTATTAATAATTGGTGTACTGAGTAGCTTTGGTCATCTTATCTTACTTTTTTAAAAAATTTGGAAGTAACTAATGTGTTTATAAGTATTAACCTGATGACTCTTAATTTACCAGTCTTAAAAACTAGGTCTTAAATTTATTCATGTCTGCAAAACATCATCTTGTGGTTAGGAAGGAAGTTTTTCAAATCACAACTTTTCTTGTACTGAATTTCTACCTTACATTTTAGCACCATGACAGAATAAAGTTTTCATTTGGAAGCACTGTAGTAGCTCTGTTAACTGCTGTGGGAGTATTGGTCCAAAGCAGATGGGAAATTAGGAAACCTGGTCCTTTATTGTAGTTTGAGAAGTATTGGTTTGAGTTGTATTCTGAAAGCATCTCAGTACTTAAAAATAAGCAAATTTGTAAACACTGACTTTGCAGAAATAGGATCTAATATGGTTAGCATTTTGATATAACACTTGACTGCTTCTAAGTGAATTTAGTAGAGACATTATGAAACCTTATTACAACATTGAGGGTTCCTTATATCAGCATAGTAATAATGGACTTGGATTGTAAAGTTTTTAAAATAAATTATTGGTTTATTCTTTAAAAGAGGCTGAGTCATGAACCTCTGGATAACCTTGAATCACCGTATAGTCAGGAATTTGATCCTGAACAGGCAACTGCTGAGGATTCTGAATGAAGTACAAGACTCAGAAATTGCTGGTACATGTGCTGAAGAAGTTGTCTCTTCCTCTACAGATGTAAAACCGAGTATATGAAATTCAGTAACTGCCAAAGTTTACCTCCACTGTAGTTCTTTGTAGCAGAGGAAATAACTTTATTATATACTTTTTTTTTTTTTTTGCAAATAACTTTATAATGAAAACTTGTTATCAGATTCTCTTGTTTGTATCCTGGAACCCTACTATTGTATTAAAATACAAATACTATGTATTTTTAATCTATGGTGTTTTGTGTAAATAGCATTTTCTCAGTTGTCAGACATGACTTGTGTATATGATAAATAAACTTCATTCTATTGAGTTTTGTGTGCATCTTGGAAGAATGAAGCATAAAGTCTGTGTAGAAAATTTGTCTATTTCTGTGCTTTTTGTTTTGTTTCCTTTCTGTTCTGCTAACTAGCTTGGAAGAAAACAAGGGGAAATGACTTCTCCCTCTTTAGACTTGAGATAGCTGAGGTTTTCCCTCATAAATCTGGTTGCACCTCAAGCTCACTGGAGGGAAATTTGATTTCTAGACCCTAAGCCCCAGTAATAGGACCAAGTAGAAGTGTGAACATCTAGATATCCAAAAGCTCCCCAGGTGAATCTGATTAGCCACGAGAAGGCTCAACTGGCTGGTAGGATCCTACTCTCCTTGGAAGGTTAAGATGTTGGGGTGATGTTGGTGGTCTTAGAAAAGCAGAGGGTGCAGCACATAAAGAAATGCAGGAATAACTAAGGGTTCTGAAACTTTCTGTTAACACATCTCATGTACTGGAGTAGACAGAGTGTGTATATTTAAGTAAGGGTGAAATGAAGGATGTACTGTTGTAGGAAGAAAAAGGCATAGAGGGAATTGAGAAGTATACAGCATTGGGATTGAGTAAGTTCTGTGGACAGCATACAAGCAACAATTGTATAAATTGACAATTGTGTAAATTGACAATAAAGAGCAATATCAAGCTTCTAAGGATTACTTTAGGCATGTTATTCTAGAACTTCAATTTTCTTATCTCTAATATTGAGGTAAAGTCCACCTCTGTGTTTGTGAGGACTAAAAGTTTTAAATAATGGAAACTTATTAACCTATAGCAACATTGTCCAATAAAGGTTTTTGGGATGCTGGAACTGAATTGTCCAGTATAATACCCAGGTATCCTTGAGTACCAAATGTGGCTTTATGAATAAGGAACTAGCAGTTTGTTTATGTTTTAACGAGCCATGTGAGGTCAGTGGCTGTGTATTAGTGCAGCTCTAGATGTTTTAGATTTGGTGTATTAGCCCAAAGAGAGAACTGAGGAAGAACAGATAAATTTTACATTGTTTTTTACCACCATAAAAATAATTTTTAAAAAGAATTAAGGATATTCTTGATTAGAGGGAGAGGGGGATCAGAGGAGTTTAGAATGAGTGGTAAAGAGGAGAGCTAAGTAGAATAGGATGACTTGGCAAATAGAAAGTATTTCTGGAAAATGTCAAAAACGGATTGCTAGGATTTGGTAGCAGGGAGCAAAAGGGGAGGGAACTGAGGATTTTAAAATTTAATGTCAGAGCTAAAACTATTAATCTTCTAGAAGAAAATAGGAAATTTCAGTGACCTCAGATTTGGTAAAGATTTCTCCAAAAGGACACATAACTAATTATACCATAAATCGGATTGCATAAAAATAAAAAACTTCTCTTTGAAAGACTCAGGAGAATGCAAAGACAAGCCACAGACTGGGAGAAAATACTTGTAAAACACCCAACAAAGGATTTCTATCTATAAAGAACTTAAAACTCACTAAGTAGATAGACAACCTTTCCTTTAAATGGAGGAAAGGTTTGGACACCTGGAGAGCGTATGTACAGACGGTAAACAAGCGTGTGGAAAGATGGCATTGTTAGTCATTAGGGAAGTGCAAATTAGACCAGTGAGATTCTGGTAGGTGTGCATCAGAATGGCTCAAGTTTGAGAAAACCTTAACAATACCAGGAGTTAAGGATATGAAACAATGTCGCATAAGGATATGGGACTCTGGCAGTCCTGGTGGCAATATTAAATGCTACAGGTGCTGTTGAACTGTTAAACCGTTCCTTAAAAATTAAACACACATTCTATATGATCCGGCCATTCTACTCTTAGATATTCTTACCTGAGGGAAATGAAAGCATAAGTCCTTTATGAAGATGAGCAAATAAAGCCCTTGTGCTCAAATGGTTATCTAGCATTTGCTTCTAAGAGAATCCTTACAAGGGACAACAAAGGGAAATAACCATTTGTTAAAATTTTGGTAAGCCAGTGTAAAATCACAGCTTAGCATAAAAATGCCTCAAGGCCCAAATCTGAACCTGTTTTTCATCAGAGACCCAGCATGATTTGACTCTTTGTGAATTACAAAAGCATTTGGAAAATGTAATTTCTGTGACACAGTTTCTAAATGGGGCTTCTGATTTCCAACCCTAATCGCCTATGAACTGAGTTCTAGTCTGAGAAACAGTTACACAATCCACAAAGGGTGAAAAGGTACAGTGGCTCAGCAGCAGAACACAACTTTTCCTGTTTTAAGTTTTGAGACAATTTCCCCAGGGAACCTCATGAATCCACATGATGTGAATAGCATCCCTAACAACATTCCTGTAATAAATAAAGATCACCGACCTAGACTTTCTCCAGGCCCCTCAGGTGAAAGCATGACACTAAGTTTAGTCAAGGCATGTCTGAAAGATGAAAGTATTCAATCTCTTGATGGCTCGAATTTAAGCTAGAGGCAAATATTAGGGTAGTTAGAGACACAAAAAGGTACAAGTCCTTTAAGTACTTTTTCATAAATATTTTTTGTAACAAAGCTTTTGATGAGGCTGGACAGTACGGAAGTGTAAGTTTTCTTTTACATATTTTCTAACGAAATATGGACGGTGAAAATCCAAGAGACGAGTTCTTTGGGTATCTGTACACATAATACTCCATCTCTTTCCAGAACTGGACCAGTGGAGGTGAGCACTGCTCCATGAAGTGTGAGTTCCCCCGAACTGGTCAGCCTGATGTGCAGTAAGATCATGTCTGAAAGCCAAACACGGCCTCAGCCAAGGATGTGGCACCTTGAAGGCTGGCACTGAAACAACGCAAGGATGTGTATGAGTAGGGCGACAGCATCCATCTACATCCCCTGTAGCATCTGTTGTGGCGGTGAGCTGGGTTTAGATTTGGCATTTCTGGGTGCCTTAGCTAAATGTCATCAGTAACCCCCCCTCCCCCCCAGCAAATACACCACTGCTTCTAACAGTTACATAGGTAATGTGTCTTCCAGTGAATTCTGATTTAACTTAATTTTTATGAGGTTATTTCAACAGGGGCACTTTTCATAAGTTTGTTTCATCACAGTAATGTTGAAAATGAATATAGAGTTTTTCAACCACCTAAAAGAAAATGCTGAAGAATAATGTTACCAGCTCTTGTTATTTATTGAAATTTTCCAGGGTAATACAGTGGGGTGCAGACAGAGGCATCAGGTAGCTGGATTCAGAGACATTAATGCCTGTGAAAACCAATGAGGAAATATAGCACCTCTGCAAAATTCTCGGGCCATCCAGACCAATTCTCACTGGCCAGTATTTGCAAGTGATGTTTCAGAGAACTGTAGTGTTTAAGCTCCTGCATACAAGGCAAGTTATTGCATGTAATGACAGAGAGAACATAGCAACCCCAAAATTTAACCAGGAGGCTGCTGTTTGTTTCACTTTTCATAGTAGACTCAAGTTTGTCATCAAAAAGATGGACGAGAATAGGAATAAACTGCAAATGTTTGGCTCTTCTCTGGTTGACAGGATTTAAGTAACACCAAGATGCGACACTCTGGAGCAGCAGGATCTTTATTTTGGGTACCATCTCATAATTTTGCAACAAGTGAGCTACTTCTTTCATGTACTCAGCTGCAAAATCTCCAGCAGTGGGTCCTCCTGTAAAACAAAGCATTTGCATTTCCAAAGTATTTGATGTGTCTAGTAGCTAGTAACATGAGTGCTCCTGTGTTCACACTGATTTCCTCTCCCCCGACACCCCAGTCTCTGTGTGCTGCTCTGAAATTAAGAAAGCGTATGTTGATCCGCGTGGGGTTACATGAAGAGCACTGGGAGGTCCCTGCCTGCTCAAAGCTCTTCCCTGGTTCCTTCATCAGGCACCTGTCAGTAATGCAAGATGAATAAAGCCTGGCTGTGTTCACCTTGCAGATCTCCCTCATGGTTTCATTCCAGAGTCTTGGTCTTCAGTGCTTGAAGAAGTACCAGAACATTAGAGCAAACATAGGAAAAACCAACAGGCTGAGCTGCAAGGTCAGGGTCTTACTAGCAGGAGAGGTTTTTCCCAAGTTGTCCATCATTATTCTGTTCTTAACGTGCTTCTCAGCCCAACTCTTGCAGATCTGGGGCCAACCTGGTCCTTGACTCTACTCCCATCCTATACCTGGGCCCCAGATCTTCCTAGTTCAAATCTTGAATTCTGAGAAGGTCATAGATAAAAAGGCACTGATGAAGACAATTTAGATGGTGAGAAGCGGCTGGTACAGTTTTCTGGATTCTTAGCCACTGGAGTTCTGACCTCGCTTGGATTTCTCTTATTTGTACTGCCACAGTCTCATGGTTTTAAGAATTTTCTCTTTGATGTAAAGTGTTAGCGAAAAGCTGGCATGAGCCCTTTTCGTTGTTCCCCACATGAAATTAAAGGATTCTGATCCCGTTGTAATTCGCTAACTCTCGCCCCCAGTGGTGACCATGGCTCTGTAGTGAACTGGGCCTGCCTCCGTGGTGGTTACGGTTTATCCTCCTGCACACGGGCATCTTCTTGAGTTCTGTCCTCTCTGGTCCTGTGTAGTGCTTCCTAATCATTCTGGCACCTTAGGACCCATCAGTCCTCATAAACACAATGTTTTCTCTCATGGACACCGTTCTGTTGGAAGTAGTCTATCAAAAGGCATCAAAATAATTCATTTTCCCATTTAAAAAATTATCTACCAATGACACTAACAGCTACCAACAACAGCTTCTAATTAGGAGACGTGTTATTGAGGGCTGTCTATGATAATTTTTTTTTTTTACACGTCCTGACATTTATTAGGAAAAAAAAGTGAAGCAAGTGTGGATTTGACAGAACAGTGTGTCTTTAAATGGTTTTTGTTAGTCGCTCAGTTGTGTCGACTCTTTGCTACCCCATGGACTGTAGCACACCAGGTTCCTCTGTCCATGGGATTCTTCAGACAAGAAAACGAGTGGGTTCCCATTCCCTTCTCTAGGAGATCTTCCCAACCCAGGGATAGAACCCAGGTCTCCTGCATTGCAGGTAGATTCTTTACCATCTGAGCCACAAGGGCCCTTAAATATAATTTCAACCCTTACCACTTAATTCTCTAGCCAAGTGTATATTAATAGCTGTTTTTCACTAATACGCCTATTGGCTTTCCTGGTATTAATAAGTGTTTTAAGAGACTAAAGTTCTTACTGATTTTTCTAAACTATTGCCTGTGTAATGCATTTTTTGCAAGATAAAATGTAAAATATCAAGTAGTTTTTCCCTGTAGAAGGGTTGACAAATGAATTCAGTATAGTCTTTGATTTTTTTTATGATATTAAAAAATTTTATAGGCAATTTCAGTGTATATGTGTGTATACATAATTTTAATGTATAAAAATTAGAAAGTACCTAATTAGTCATACAGCTGATGGCCACATTCTTTTAAAACATGAGATCCTTGAGGAGAAAGTAATTAGTAATCATCTGGTGGTACAAAGAGGAGAGACTAATAATTTAGGCAAAGGAAATGTTATTGGACTCCTAAGATCAGTGCTAGGAGACTCACTCACTGACAGGGTTAGAACAGGCAGAAAGGTTGTGGAACACTCCATCAGTACCGCTGGTTAAATCAGTACCTGTAAAGGCCAACAGTCCGATTCTATAGGCAGCTTGAGCTCTCTGTTCAAGGGCTAGAGAATTATCTGTCAAAATATTGCCAAGCATCAGAATTTTTTCTTTATGAAAAATACTCTCAGCTGGAGGAATGTATTCTTCCTCCTTCTTAGTGCAGAAGCCCTTAACGGCACTCCAGCATTTCTGGAGGCGGTGATAGAGCCCCACGAAATACTGAAGAACCCGAGTCCAAAACTGCACATAATAAGTCTGATTCTTTGCCATTGTGTGAAAAGGCCAAGGGTGCTTCAGTCACATCCCTGGCAGTTACAGAAGTGAACAGTCGAGAACTCGGGAACTCATCACTTAGCAACACTGGAATGGCATACACAAATCCGGGGCGGGGCGGGGGAGCCATGTATGCCGGACTTCTTTCTTCAGCCTGGCATTGAGGCCTTGTGCACTTTGAGCTAAACCAAGGTTACATTCGCTTCTCGGGTGCGCAGAATCTCACCTCAAACTAAACCCCTCACACACACTCAGTGAGTTCCTGTCTTTATGTCTTGTTCAGGCGATGTCTACTAGGAACTTGCTCATTCTGCTTTGACTGTTTCAACGTGTCAAACTTGCCACTCATCTTTCATAGTATTATGCCAATTTTGTATACTTGTTACATAGAGTTTTTCTCTACATCATAGATTTTCTATGTTGATCCTATTTTGCTGAGAAAATAGAAGCAGTCAAAAAAGAACTTCCAGGACTTCCTTGGTCGTTAAGTAGTGAAGAATCTGCCTACCAATGCAGGGGACACAGTTTTCATCCCTGGTCCGGGAAGATTCCACATGCCCTGCGGCAACTAAGCCCACACGCTACAACTACTGAGCCCATGACCAGGAGTCCCAACAACGGGAAGTCTGCGCACCACAACTAGAGAAAAACCACGCAGCGACAAAAACCCAGGGCAGCCAAAAAAAAAAAGGGGGGGGGACTTACATCAGTTCTCCCCATTATATCCGCCCTCTGATCTGTGTGAGTCCATATCCTCTGGCTTTCCTCCTGTTATGCTCCCTCCATTTATGCAGATTTCAACCAATCCTCACTCCATTCAAGGAGATTGCTCACAATCCTCCTTTTGCCTCTAATTTTTCCATCTCACCGGGGACCTTTGCATCATCAAGAAGCATGCTGTATCTTTTCTCATTAAAAAAAAAATTAAAACAACTCTCTTGACCTCATAGAGCCCCTTCCCCTGGTTATTCATTTTTCTGCTCCTCTTTATACAAAAACTCTTCAAAGAGCTGCCATACTTACCATTTGAAACATTCTTTGAACTTCTCTTAAAGGTACTCCAAATTGGATTTCAACCCTATGGCTCCACTGAAATTGCTTATCAGGGTCACTGGGGACCTTCACTCTGCTGAATTCAATTCTCAGTCCTCAGCATTTGTCACTCATTGCTCCTTGGAACACTTTTCTCACTTGGTTTTTAAGATGTCATATTCCTTTAACTTTTCCCCACTGGCCATCTTCCTTTTCCTTTGCTGTCTCCCCCTCTTCTTTATGACCTCTGAATATTGGAGTGGCCTGAGGCTCAGTCCTTGTACCTCCTTTTGTTTTTTATCTATACTTCCGAGATGAAATAAACCAGTCTCGTGGCTTTAAATACCATTCACATGCTGAAGACTCCCAATTTTTTATTTTTAACTGGATTTCTCACCTGAACTCTAAACACAAGTACTTTCAATCACCAAGATGGTATCTCTATTTCCATGCCTAAGAGGCTTCCCCGACTTAACATACCCTCAAAGCAGAATTCTTGGTCTTTCTCTCCAAACCTGCTGCTCCTCAGTTTCCCTGTCTTGGAAGATGGCATTCCATCTTTCCAGTTTTTCAGACTGAAATTTTTGGATCCACCCTTGGCTTTTGCCTGTTTCATATCTCAGTTCCAATTTATCAACAAATCCTACTGGCTGTAATTTCAAGGTAGAAATTTGGATGCCTGTCCAAATTTGGGACATTCTACAAAATGTACTTGTCTGTATTCTTCAAATATAGTAAGGTGTGGAAGTTTAAAGGGTGGGGGCACAACTGTTCTAGATGAAAAGAACCTAAAGAGGAGAGTCACCATAGGATCCAGCAATCTCCCTCCTGGCCATATATCTGGAGAAAACTCTAATTTGAAAAGATATATACACCCCAATATTCATATCAGCACTATTTGCAATAACCAAGACATGAAATCAACCTCAATATTCATCTACAAATGAATGGATAAAGAAGATGAGGTACATATATATAATGGAATACTACTCAGCTATAAAAAGAGTGAAATAATGCCATTTGCAACAACATGGATGGACAAAGAGATTATCGTCTTAGAAAGACCAGTATCATATGATAGCACTTAATGTGGAATCTAAAATATGACACAAATGAACTTATTTACAAAACAGAAGCAGGCTCATAGACATAGAAAACAAACTAATTTATGGTTATCAAAGGGAGAGTTGGGAGAGGGACAAGTTAGGAATTTGGGATTAGCAGATAAACACTATTATAAATAAATGAAATAGATAAACCACAAAGCCCTGCTATATAGTATTGGGAACTATAATATCTTGTAATAAACCATAATGGGAAAGAATTTTTTAAAAAATATTTTTATATCTATATGAGTCACTTTGCTCTGATTCAGAAGCTACATAACAGTGTAAATCAATTAAAAAAAACAAAAAAAGAACCTGAAGAGGCATGACAATTAAACATGTAACCCATGGTTGAATCCTGTATCCATGTGTGTGCATGCATGTGCATGAGCATATGTGTATGTGTGTATAGTCTATAAAGGCTACAACTGGGACAACTCAGGAAACATAGAGCCTGCATTATCCAGTATGGTAGCCACTAGCCACATATGGCCACAGAGCACCTGAAATGTGACCGATATGAATTGTGATGTGCTGTAATTGTGAAATATATACTCTACTCCAAAGTATGAGAAGAAGAATGTAAAATATTTTATTAATAATTTTTATATTGATTACAAGTTGAAAGATTTTGGATATATTAGGTTAAATAAAACATATTATTAGAATTAGCTTCCCCTGTTCTTGTTACTTCATGTGGCTACTAGAAAATCTAAAACATCAAGCATGGTCCGTTTCTAAGGCTTTTGCATTTACTGTTGTATCTGCCTGGAATGTCCTTCCCAGGGGTATCCACATATCCACATCTGTCAGTTCCTCAGATCATCCTCGAAAGTCATTTTCTCTTAGGCCTTCCCTGACCACTCTCTTTGAAACTTGTGATCTTTGCTCTGTCCCATTTTTCCCATCCCCAGCTTTGGCCTTGGGCAATTACATTCCTTTTTTCGGTCTTTTTTTTTTTTTTTTTTGGCCACATTGCATGGCTTGTGGGATCTTAGCTCCTGGGCTCCTGGCAGTGGAAGCGCAGAGTCCTAACCACTGGGCCGCCAGGGCATTCCCTCCTTTTCTCTGTCTTATTGTCTTCTCTTTCCAGGATATGAGCCCTGTGAGGGCAGGAATTTTTATGTCTCACAGCAAGAGACCAGCACAGCCAAAAAATAAATAAGTAAATTTAAAATATACCGATAGCAACTTAGACAAAATGGGGCGGCACAGGATGTGTTCCAGATGAAGGAATCAGATAAAATGTAGCTCTGTTTTTCCTCCAATTAGCATTACAATAAATCTGAGAAGTCAATATCATTCTCATGTATGGATAAAGGAATTTCAAGATAAGAATAAATTCAAGTTGAGAATGAAGTGTAGTGTGTTGTGTAAATACCAACTCAATAAGAACATGTGAAAAAATATAGCAGACCCTGAACACGAAACTAGTAATTCAAAAATAATTTTTATTTTAACTTACATGATTGAAAGAGTGACGAATACAAATGCCACAAAACTAAAAGCACCCCTTTCAACCAAAAATAAAATGCAGAAGTGAATACAAAAGGTATAGAATCAATTATTCATGCAATACTCAAAAAAAATAAAAAACCCAAACAACTGAACAGTTCTGTGACATTTGTGATTTGACTTTCTATTAAAAAAAATCACTTCAACCATTTGACAGGGACTACAGACTATACATACTAACTGTAGGCTGTACAATGTACCTTTAAAAGGAAAGATATGCATATATATAATATTTATAAATTTACAAATTTATATATACATTGTAACTTCACAGTTGAAAGAACTTATCTACCAGGAAGCCTGATAAACAATTTATACTTTAAAAGAAATAAGAATTGTTTTTAAAGGTCTTGCTAAAATGTAAATATTTCAAATAACATCTAAATGATTATACAAGCACATCAGAGAATAGTAGATATTCCACAGTTTAAATTACACTCACACATGTTATTTTGATATCTTGGCATATCCCACCTTATATACTCTTAAGAGGAAGAAAAATTATTCAATAAGAGCTACTGAATGGACTTGTACTTTATTTAAAGGACTTATTACCCTGATATGAAAGCAATGACAGAAACTGTTTTAACTATTTGGCCAAAGGTTCTTATCCAGTGATGAATGATATCTCTAGGGCAGTAACCATCATTCAGGGCATTCTTCTTCCTTACCTTACAGTAGTTTCTATAAAAGCAAAGACCACTCTTATTGATTCTGTTTTCACCCCACTGTTGTCGTTTACTCACCAAGCCGTGTCTGACTCTTTTCGACCTCATGGACTGTAGCCTGCCAGGCTCCTCTGACCATGGGGTTTCCCAGGCAAGAATAGCAGAATGGGTTGCCATTTCCTTCTCCAGGGGATCTTCCCAACCCAGGGATCAAACATGCATCTCCTGCCTTGATAGGCACATTCTTGACCATGAGCCTCCAGGGAAACCCCTTTCACCCCATTAGGATTCCTCCAACTTCTATGTTCTTCTTCAAGGAGCATCATAACTTTCTGAATTAAAATCACAGCTTTCTGAAAACTTCTGGTTTTGATCTGCCTTAGCAGCAAAATACTTCTATTATAAAAAGTATCATTTAAAAAATGGCTCTTATTTAAAAAAAAACAACTTAAGTTTTGAGTATCTTCTTAAAAATGAGTATGGTATAATCTTAATAAGGTAATTTTTAGTGATCTACCCATCTTTTTTTTTTTTAATCCATCTTTTTTTTTACATACTGGAAACATGCCTTTGGATTTCTCACGATAGAGAAACAAAAGAAATTGTGGAGGCTTGAAAAAGTGAAAATAAAAAATCTTATAATGTGTTCTTTTACCAGGTTCTACAGGCAAACTTGTATTTAAAGAAATCCTTTTATTTTTT